ACATGGGTGAGTGATCGTTAATTTTCCAGTGATGTATACAGATGTAGTCAAACTCCCAAACGCTCAAAAGGAATTAAAAATCAAAACACCCCCAGGGCCATCTCAGACCATCACAGCAGGCCCAAATGAATGATTTTCCTCTTCCTATTACTGCCACTTCTCCTCTGCATATTTATAACACAGAATCAGAGAACCCTGCTTACCATTTTTCCAATCATCATTACGTATGGGCCCAAATACTTGTTCACGCCGAAGATGTCTAGTAGACGGATGTACCAATAAATGATGTTCACACAATAGATGACCCTCCCATCACTCCTGAAGGGCTGGTCTTGGAGACGAAGGATCATTCCCACAGAGAACAAAAGGATGGCTATTAGGTCTGTGACATTCCAGTACTCCTGCAGCCACACCTTTACTTTCTGTAGCAACTTCCCTGGCTCTGACATCAGGATCTAAAAGACAGGAAAAGAGAGCGGGGTTAGGTCTGGTTTCAGTCCATATTTTAGGTCCAGTTGGAAAACGCTTGGTCTGTTAGTTGACATCAGTAGCTTGTTTTGTTTACCTGTGTTTACTTGAATATTTGCATGCTATGAATATACCACCGAGCTAAGCTCAGACCAGGAAGATACAAGCATTCCAGAGGCAAACAGAAGCAAGAAGTTTGATCCTTTGGGTTGCCTTACTATCCTAAGATACCCATTAGGGTTTTGCTCTGAAATGACAGATTCCTGATACACTGCAAATATCTGAAATTCCACTCCATCTCAGTAAAGAGTGCCACCATATTGAGTTACTCAGACCACCAGGGAGGACTCCTTCATTCTTCTCATCACATCCATATAATCTGCATCAATATCACCTCTATTTCTAAATACAATCTGCATCAATATCACCTCTATTTCTAAATACAATCTGATCCAACCACTGCTCACCACCACCCGCTGTGGCCATTGTACTCTCAGTCCTACCACATCACCTAGATGATTGCAACAGCCTTCTGACTGGTATTCCTGCCACCATCGGTGTCTACTCTCCCTCAACCCATTCTCTAACTAGCACACAGAATGATCTTTAAAAACTGAAGCCGTGATCTGGGTGGTGATTACACACAGTTGTATGGGTAAACAGAATGAGTTTATTTTCTTATAAATAAGAATGAGTTTATTATTTTCCTATGAGTTGTTTATTTTCTTCCAGGTAAATTATACCACAATCTAAAAAAGAGAGCGATTTGAGAGATGTATCAACAACAACAACAACAACAACAAAAACTAAAGCAAATTGTGATAAATGAATATTTCAATCTCCCAATGGCTTCCAATACACACAGAGAAAGACCCAAACTCCTTACGGTGGCTTCATTTCACAGCCCACCACATTCCCCCCATTCCACACCTACGGACATAGCGGCTCATTATATGCTCGGGACATTTGCACTTGTTCCTTCTGTTGGGCATTTTCTTCTCCCAGAATTTTACATGTTTTGCTCCTCCTCATCCTCAAGGTCTCTGCTCTAATTTCCCTTTCTTAGGAAGATCTTCTTTGACTATCCTACCTGCAGGGGCCTCCACATCCCTGTCACTTGCTAATGTATTACCCTATCTTCGGTTTTGAAGAGTTTGTCACTCTATGAAGTTAACTTCTGTATGCAGGTAAACATGTTGTCTGTGTTGGTCTACCCACCTATCATCTCCACTAGACTGTAAACTCTGAGGCACACCCTTTGGGCCCCAGGGCCTGTTACATAACAGATTCTCAATTAAATGTTTGTTGACTGACTGCTACATATCATTAGGTACTGGGTAGGGCTCTGACTTACCTCAAATCTAGAGGGGCCTTTTTGCTGCCACACAGAGGCTCTATGAAACGCATAGTTGGAGAGTGGGTCCCACTGGTCCGACACCACAGCTTGTCCCCGGATGTGAGGAGCCAGGGAGGCTGGCCTATAGAGGCTGCGTAGCTGGGCCTTTGGGTTTACCCGGAGACTTCAATCTCTTTGAGCCATCACCCAACTCGGAATCTCCTCTCAAAAGAGAGGAAAGCAAAGACAGGGGACAGGGTCTAATCTGCAGCTGTTTATTTGCATCCTCTTGTCCCCTTTAATGGTTTGCCGTGACCTGAAATACTTAAGGAAGGGAGGTCTTAGTAAGTCAGGACGAGGGCTTGGAATGCTGTGCGAGATGCCAGAGCCAGCTGGTAGCCTCATTCTTCCTCCTCTGTAGGGCTACACTCACCCCTAAACCCCAGGCCAGGGTTTCTTGAGCGGGCATCAGAATCACCTAGGGGCTGGTGAAAACACGATGGCCGCGCCCTACGCCTGGAGTTTCTGCTCCAGTAATGCCTGGTGTGAGGCTGGAGAGTTTACATTCACAACAAGTTCTCAGGGCAAGCTGGGGTCCACAGGTTGAGAGAAGCACTGTCCTCCCCGTCAGGGACTCCTGCAGCGGACGTCGTCCTGGCGGTTTCTCACACCGCTGCGTCTTAGCTAGGGAAAACTCCCTGCGTGTGGGCAGGGGGGCGGAGGGGAAATGCCTTGGAGTTTTTCTACCCCTGCGTCCACACTTTCCTACAACTGGTCAACAGAGATTGATAGCATCAGTTTCTAAACTGTGGAAATACTTCTGTGAAATCCCAACATAAGAAAAAAAAGGGGGGGGAGGTCAAGGCTGAGAGGCTAGGGTGAAGCAGGAACGCAGGTACCCCGGCCCTAAAGCTTCTCCCACCGGCACTGGGCCAGCCGCGACCCTCTGCTCTGAGGGGGCGTGGCCGCAGAGTGGGCGCGACCGCAGGAGTGGGCGTGCCCTCGCGCCACGGCCAGGTCTGGCCCTCGCGGGGTTGCCGGGAGGAGGGTCCCGGCGGGAGAACGTCCGCCCACGCACGGTGTAAACAGTTCCGGTCGCTTGAGGGATCCCCGCGGCTTGTTTTGGTGACTGCGCGCGGAAGTATGTGGTGCTGGGAATGGGAGGGCCGCCTGTGAAACCACAAAGCCCCGCTCGTATATATCCCTGAAGGCCAGGAAGCCTACGGAGATTTCCACGTGTCCGGGATCTTGCGTGCCTGCGCCCTGCGCCGACGCGGAGGCGGGACCTGTGGGGTCCGCAGCCCCGGGGCGGTTGAGCTTCCTCAGCGGGTCCGGGACCTGGGGTGGGGGTGTGGGGTGCGGCCGCGCCAGGCTGACAAGGAAAAGATCGCTCACGAAGGCGGTGGGGGCCTCCCCGCGCGGCGTCCTCCGGAGCCAGGACTCCTGGGATGACCCCCTGCTGACCCGACCCTGCAGAGCCCGGGCCACTGTTACATGCCGCCTCAGGAGAAATGGATATCCAGGCCGGGAGGTTCCTGGCAGCCTGCCTGCTTGGCAGCCTCTTCCAGAACAGTCCACGGAGTACAGGCTGCTCCCTGTCTTCTTCCAGCCTCGTCCCTGGAGGGATTCCAGTCTCCCTGCGCGAGTCTTTCCCTTTTCTGCTTATCATGGGGAAGTAATATGCATCTGGGCGTTAAATCACGGGAGAGGAGCTAGCACTGAACAGCACCAGAGCCCTTAGCGGTAGCAGGCCTCCGTTGTCAGAGCGCTACACAAAGAGCACTGCAAATTTATTACAGCTTTTTCAGTTTACCAATGGGAAATCCACAGCCGTGCTCAGGAAGTAGAAGGCATTGTGAATGGGGAGGCCGAACAGTACACAACTAGTTAGAACAAGGCCAGGCAGGGCATCCATTAAAAAGAATATCCAGCTTTTTATAAAAAGGGACTAGTGCACACCTCCAAACTCTCTGCATGGGGACATGCTGATTAGAATTTAAGTGTCCCCGAAGCAGTTTAAAAACCCCAAAGAAGGGCTCTGAATGTATTTTAAGAGATTTTTTTAAATGATCCCAGTATGACGGCATCTAATAGATACTGCATCCTCTTCTCTGAAAGAGAACTAAAACCTAAGAGACTAAGTGTATTTTAACCTGTTGGTAATGAAGGCAAGGGTGAATTTGTGGATTTGTAGGAATCCATTTTTGTATGGATCCCGATGTATTTTCTCACTCACTGTAGCTTTGGGAGTAGGATTGTTCGAGAGCTCTTGAAGGTGCAGTGGACTTGACAGAGAGTAATTCTTCCAGAAAAGACCTGCCCTGATGACTGTAGTTCCAGGGGGAAATGCAGAAGAATCATCAAACAAGCGTGCCTTCCCTACAGCGTAGGGAATGGGTTGGTGGAGCGCGTTGAGCAGAGTTGCAGAGCCCTCTGGTGGACGTTCGCTTGACCACATTCATTTTAGCAGCCCAGACTGGGAAGGCCCCTGACTCTGGCTTTGAACTTCAAGCAAGTCATATGGGGGGGGTGGGGGGGGGGTGGGGTTATGATGGCTCCTTTAACAAGGTGGGGATGTGGGGCGTAGAGAGGGGCCCACACCCCCAACCCGAAGGACAAGAAATCTATTCAGCCCACCTCAGTGATTCCTAGGGTTGGTGGAGAGGCTGGTGCTCAGCACATGCATAATAAATGTTGAGAAGGAATAAAGTGGAGGATAAATTAATGAATGGAAGCGTAGTTCCTTCTACAGCTGCTGAAATGCATTTGGAGAATCATAGGTATTGGATGACAGTGCCAAAGAGACCCAGAGTAAGGGGTTGCAATGGGAGTTAAAAGTGGAAAAATGGGAAAATTTGAAAACTCTTGTTTATAGGGTCGAGGAAAGAGACGTGTAAACAGTGTCGAAGACAACTCTTCTTGGGAAAGAGATCTGTTGGCAAAAGCTAGAGCAAACCCCGAGCAGGCGTGAAGTGATGACCCTATAAAACACACACTATGACGCCTCCCCAGGTTTGCCACCGGCCGTCGAGGCCGAGTCCATTATTTCTGTGCAGCATAGAGAAAACGGTTTCTGGCTTAATTTGGATCTCTAGCATCGCCCCTCCCTTCCACTCACAAAGGTAACCGACCACTGTTTTTCTCCTATGTTCTCCTTTATGAAAGCAGTTACCTCTCTCATCTTCTCTATCCCCAGGGTGAATATGTACGAAATGACGATCCATTCCTGCGTGGAAGGCCAGCGCTCCATCTTCACTAACACGATATAGTTGAAGAGCATCAAGTATCCGATGTACGCCAGCTGTAAGGAAACACAATACAGTGTTCTGGCTACAGAGACCCGGGAGCCCGGCCCTTGGGCAAGGCCGCCGCATGGCAGAACAGAGCAAGGTCAGCAAGCAGGGCTCAGAATTCACAACAGAATGAACTTCAAGGCTTTAAACTATTCAAAGAATTTAAGAAAACGACTATAATATTTGAAATAATGTGATGTGCTATCTTCCTTTTGTCTCTTACATGTGTCCCTGGGTCCAGTACTTTGCCTTTACTTCTGTGCCATGATGCATCCTTTTTGTTTGGCTATTACCGTTTCTTGTGTCTTTCTGGCTAAAAAGGGGACCTCTTCTCTCAGTGCTACTCTTGTTCATGCATAAGCCTCAGGTTCTTTTTTTTTTTTCTTTTTAAGTTTATTTCTTTATTTTGGGAGAGAGAGAGAAAATGAGTAGGGGATGGGCAGAGACAGAAGGAGAGAGAGAATCCCAAAGAGGCGGGGCTGGATCCGAGGACTGTGAAATCACAACTTGAGCTGAAATCAAGTGTCAGACACTCAACTGACTGAGCCACCCAGGCGCCCGGAGCTTCAGGTTCTTGAACTAGGGCACACGGTGGATTTGTGCCTAATGAATGCCAGGTAGGTGAAATGTCTGCAGGAAGGAAAGGAAGGCACATACTATACTTGTAAACTGGTCAAACCAACATAAAAATAGACTGGATTTTATCTTGAAGTCCCACTTGAATTGTTTTCTGAGTTAATGTCTTCTTTTTTCTCCTCCTACCTTAATGTGCTTGGCTTAGCAGTGCCCTGGGAGGATTTTATCCATTTTCTATTGCAACACCTCCCCACCCTATCCAAGTTGGGATATTCCTCCCTGGTTTCTGCTTCTTTGAAAGAAAACAAGAGAAGATAAAGCAATTTATAGAAAGGAATGGGTCCCTGTAGCCAACTATGGCTTGGAGGGGGGCCTAAGCCTCATGGGGCTCTGGCCCCAGAGGCTGAATCCCGATAGCACTGGCTGAGGTGCTGGGTGTCCGCTGAAAACCCCTGGGGGCTCAGGTTTAGTGACTGTCACTGGAGGACTCGGTTATGTCTAGATGAGTGCGTGGAGTGTAGGAGGGCTGGTGGGGTTCTTGTGTCAGGGCCCGCGGGACCTCTGGAGAAAAACTCCCCCTTGGGGAAATGGCATAGGAGCTCAACCTTCTCTAGGCAACGCTTCAAGCTGAGTAAGGCGCTCGCTGGCTTTCGGGGCCCCGGGGGCTGTGAGCAGGAAGTGAGAGCGGGTTTATTCCTGTCTGCACTCTTCAGAGCCCACAGAGCAAAGAATAGGACACAGTGTGGGCAAAAGGGTGGAGGCCTTGGAGATACAGTGCGACTCTGGAGCCCTGCAGGCACCTTAGCAGGTGGGGAAAGGTACAGCCTGACTGCGAGACAGAAAGGGGAACTGGCGGCCCCACAGAGCTCGAGAAACGTTCCTTTCTCTGCTAATGGGGCCGCTCGCTGTCTTTCTTCCTTCCTTTCCTTTTTTAATAAAATGGATACATAGATTCTGAATAGGAGTCAAAGGTATTTTTAAAGCCCCTATGATGACGCAGTTACAGACACAACCATATAATTTCTGGTCTCTTGCATGGTGAACATATGTCAGAGTTCAGTGAGGTCAGGAGCGGAAGCATGAGGGCAGCTGTGGAGAGGCTGTTCCTTCTCCACCTGACACCTCAGGGATGCGCTCTTGTCTACTCACCCCTTCAGGGATTGTCACTTAACAAAATTTTAACTTTTTTTTTTGAGAGAGAGACAAGGTGTGAGTGGGGGAGGAGCAGAGAGAGGGAGACACAGAATCCAAAGGAGGTTCCAGGCTCTGAGCTGTCCACACAGAGCCCGACGCGGGCTCAGACTCACGAGCCTGGAGATCATGACCTGAGCCGAAGTCAGACACTTAATTGACGGAGCCACCCAGGTGCCCCTCACGGACTGTCACTTTAATCCACACCTCGGCCCCCACTCCTTCCCTCTGGGGCTGTTAGCACAGTGTGGAAACCTCACCTGAGGCATCTGCTCTACTTGAAATTACGTGGGATACTGTTTAAAATGCAATTTGGTTCATATGGTTCCTGTTTACCGTTATACACGGGCATCCACTCTCGGTCCCCACAAGTATTGTATTTCACAAGACACAGCAGACTTCAATAGCGAAACTCTAAAACATATTCTCAGCCTCCTTGTGGCCTGAAATCCTTCTTTCTGATTGCTTCCTTTTGTTTGTTGGATCATATTTATTGCTTCTAGGGGAAATGAGTCTCTCTAACTGCCCTGGTTTTTATTATTTCACCCAATTCATTGTGACACATTCCAAAGAACTATCTTCTCTTGTCACACGCAGGCCCAGTGACACCCACACAATTCTTCCAGAACCTCTGCATTTTAGTATTTAAGCATCTCTTCCAACCTGCCTCTGTCCTCCGAATACAGGTTTAGTGTATTGGTTTGGCTGAAGGAATGTAGATGCAGTCAGGGAAACTTGGATTTAAATCCTAGCTCGAGTATTTCCAAGCTGTATCATTTCGTGTACATCAATGCACCTGCCTGGGCCTCCATCCTGTGAAATGGAGACGAGGGCTACTGACCTTACAGAGCTTTTGGAAGGATTGGGGGGGATGAGGGGGGGGGGGGGGTTGGAGAATATATATCTATCTCCCTTTTTAAAAAATGTTTATTTATTTTTGAGAGAGAGGTGGGGGAGGGGCAGAGAGAGAGGGAGACAGAGGATCTGAAGTGGGCTCTGTGCTGACAGGAGACAGCCCGATGCAGGGCTCGAACTCATGAACCGTGAGTTCACCACCTGAGCCGGAGTCAGACGCTTAACTGACTGAGCCACCCAGGCGCCCCTGTATCTAGTTCCTAACAGTTGTAGAGGCCAAATGAATGGTGGCTAAAATAATTATTTGCTGCTTTTTTCAAGCAACTTCCATTCCTCATCTCCTCTTACCTCAGTACTTGTTTCCTTTTGATCTGGTTAACTAGCCATACCTCTCCTTTTTTATTTTATTTTATTTAAAAAAAAATTTTTTTTTTCAACGTTTATTTATTTTTGGGACAGAGAGAGGCAGAGCATGAACGGGGGAGGGGCAGAGAAAGAGGGAGACACAGAATCGGAAACGGGCTCCAGGCTCCGAGCCATCAGCCCAGAGCCCGACGCGGGGCTCGAACTCCCGGACCGCGAGATCACGAGATCCCGCGAGATCGCGAGATCGTGACCCGGCTGAAGTCGGACGCTTAACCGACTGCGCCACCCAGGCGCCCCCGCCCTTTCCTTTTTTAAATTGCCCTCCTTACTGCTTATGCTTCTTCCACGATCAGCCTGTTATTTGTTATTATTATTTTTTTTTGACAGAGCCAGTGAGTGGGGGAAGGACAGAGGGAGAGAAAGAGAATCTTAAGCAGGCTCCAGGCCCAGCACGGAGCTCGACGCAGGGCTTGATCTCACAACCTTGGGATCATGACCTGAGCCGCTATCACGAGTTGGACCCTCAGCCCCTTGATCCACTCAAATGCCCCTCAGCCTCTTCTTTAAATCCAGTTACTCTATAATGCGTTTCTTTCCATGTTCAAGCTATAATATAACATTTTGGGACAACTCTCAAAATATAGACTTCCAAAAATATGACTTTAAACATGTTTAAATGGCACAACAGAGGACTGTCTGCTGTCTGAGAAGCAACCTATCTTAGAACTCACCAACATTCATGGGGTCTAGCTACAGATTACCTTAACATGACATGCTTTAAAATTGTGTGTGTCTACACACATATATTCTGTAAGCTTTAACAAGTTGTGTGCAGAATGTCAAAACTTTGAACAGAAACATAACCTCATGATGCTTATTTAAGTCAGTAGGCATCCTCTAAGGATTTGCATTTTATTTGCTTATATATTCTTTTTATACATTTTCCATTAACCAAGATGCTCAACTCCCAAACTATGCAATGAAAGCACCAGAGCTTTCTTCAGGTTGTGTGGATCCCTGGTGAGCTTTCTCCTCCTGCCCCCTGGAGCGGGGGGGGGGGGGGGGGGGCACAGTGGTGTTCAAACAGAGGCAGGAGTCTGTCCATGCTGGAGAAGCCCAGAGAATATCCCTTGCCCTCTGACTTGGTTCCTCTTTTATAACTTGCAACGGCATCCTTTCCAGCTGGGCACTTGAAATGACTCTCATCACAGACCAGATCTGGGAGCCAGCTGGATCCCTGCCTCCTTTCTTCTTGGAACAGAAGAGGACCCAACCTGGCCTTCTGGAAACTTGCTAAGATATGGAAGTGAACTTATGTGGAAATGAGGTGTGTTCCCTCTTTCAGAAACTTGGGAGTGTACACAGAAGGAGATATTTTTGGAAACCAGAGTGGGAAATACTCTTATAGGAAGGAACACATCCGAAAGCAAATGGGAGGTTTGATCTAAAGCGAATTTTACTGTTAAGCATCTCTGGGGAGGGGACTTAAAAATCTGGCATTCCTCATCTCCATGCACTTCCTCGAGGCCTAGGCTTTGTAAACACACAGCTATGGATTTCTGGAAGTCATTATGTAAACACTAACAACATGACTGGGGTGTCCAGTCCAATGGGTTTGCTGAGTCTACCGTCAGCCGTGCAGAAGGGAGCCAGACACACAGGCTCCACTTCTCGGAGGCATCTGATACGAGGAGAGCAGTGTGTCCCAAGCTTCCTGGACTATAAGACTCACTTGGGGAGCTTGTTAAACATATAGCCTCTTCAGCAACTCCTTGGAGATTAGATTTCATGGGTCTGTGATAGGGCCACGATGTGCATTTCTAACAAAATTCTTTATCATCAAAGAAGTTTTGGAAAAAAATACTGGGCCTTCTGTCTGGGGCAGTGGTTCTTAACCCTGGCTACTCATTACAACCACCTGGGTCCTTTGAAATAGCCTGAAGCTTTGGTTGTGCCCAGACCAATGATGTCAGAATCTCTGAGAATAGAGAACCCAGGTACCTTAAAAAAATTTTTTTTAATAGATAAATAGGTGGATTAAATAGAACCCAGGTGTTGTTGTTTTTTAAAGAGCTCCAGGCGATCCCAATGTGTAGTCAAGACTGAAAACCACTGTCCAAGGCATTTGTGACTTAAAAGCATCTTGGCCAACAAATTGTCACAGCTGAATAAATGGGGACTAAGGGAATCAAGGAAATAATGTTAATGCTGAACAATGATCAAGAAAAGAGAAGAGAGAGATGTCTTGAAAGATAGGACAAATGAGTCTTGTATTTGTAAAGGTGATAGGCAATTCTTTATACTATTATTTCTATTAGTTCTTTTATGCTCTAGATAAGGAGTTAGCAAATTTCTTCTGTAAAGGACCACAGAGTTCATTTTTAAGGCTTTCAGAGCCTGACAGTCTTTCTATAGCAAGTAATTGACTCAACAGTTGTTAGTACAAAAGCAGTCAGATTATTGGTAAACGAATGAGTTTGGTTGTGTTCCAATAAAACTTGATTTATGGACACTGAAGTGTGAGTTTCATATAATTTTCACGTATGATGAAGTATTCTTCCTTTGATTTTATTTCAATTTTAAAAATGTAAAAACCATTCTTAGCTCACAGTCCACAATAATAGGCCTGGATCTGGGACTTGATTTGGCCTGTGGGAATATAGTTTGCCAAGCCCTGTTCTAGGCTGGGGTAATTGAGGCATCCTGGTATAAAAGGAAGGACAGAAGTGGGTGTAAAATGTAGTAAAATTATCTTTTTTTTTTTTTTTTGGTAAAATTATTACCTTGATAAAAGTATTAAATTAGGGAAAATATATGTAAAGAATTTATAACAGTGCCTCACAGTAGGTGTTCAAAAAATGATATCATCACTATTGGGTGGATGGATGAATAAAAACACGGACTATTGCCATGCAATGTGACTAGCCTAGGAATAAAAACAGTTACATTTATATTGTGCTTACACGTTCCAAGCACTGTTCTAAGTGCTTTACATATTTTAACACATTTAATCTTTACTAAACCCTACAAAGTAGGTACTATTATTATCCCCATCTTAAGGAATCTTGGCACAGAGTGCTAAAGTAACTTGTTTGAGGTCACACAGTAATCTGCTCAGCCTGTCTTACCCCAAAGTCCATGCTTGTCACCCACTAAGTTGTTTCCTGCAAGGTAAATTTAATATCTGCATAAAATATATAAATGGAAATTATTTTTGCACGTCTTAATTTTTTCGGGGGAGAATTATTTTCTATTTTTAGTATTCACAAACCTGAATTTTTACTTCACTAAAAAAATCTAATATTTATACTTCAATTATATCTTCTTTTAAGACCATAGTTTACAACAGTAGTTTTCACCTGGTAGCAAAGTAAGTCCATAAAGGGACATTTGGCAATGTCCAGAGACATTGTGGTTGTCATACGTGGGGGCTGGAGAGTGCTACTGGCATCTAGTGAACTGAGGCCAGGGGTGAGCTGGACATGGTACAGTACACAGGACAGTCCTCCTAAGCAAAGAATTTTTCTGCGCCCCATGTGAACAGTGCTGAGGCTCAGAAAGCCTCACTGAAAGGCAGCATTAAGTGTTGGCATATGGGACCACACGCATGCACAGAAACACCTCATCTGGTCATTTGAGTCATCTTGGCCTCAGACTAGGATTTTCCTTTGCTGACTAAGGTGCCTGGTGGGTAGCTGGTTGTGAGAAAGGCCAAAAATACAGACACCTGTCCCTCATCTGGCACAGTGCCACTGTGACTGGAGAGAACCAGAGATGACCTGGGGGAAGCTCACCTTCATGAAAAACAGAAGTAGGAAACCAAGAGTCTAGCCATTTCTATCATATCAAGAGGCTATTTCAGGGACAAGATTTCATCCTGTGAAGACAAAATATTTGCAGGGTGCGCACGGAACAATCTCCACTGTGACTGTAGTTACTTCGAGTAGTTTTTGCTGCTTTGGTTGGCATGTTGTTTCATCATGTCTGAACAAGAAAGGCTGTTTGATGACACTAGCAGATTGGGAGTAGTTACGCACTTAGGCTACCCACCTTTAGTGGCGTTACTTTGAAAACTCTGCTCAGCCCTTACCCTTCAAATGTTCCCTACCCCCAGGATTGGCATCTAAAATGGGCAACTCCGATCCAGCGCTCATCCATCCAGAACACACAAGTGTTTTATAAAATGACATCTATTTTTTTGCTAGACTCATACTCATCCCACCTCTATTTCTGTTAGTTCTCACTTTTACCATTTCCTTTATTTTCTGTAAGGAGGAGAAATGCAGAAGCTGTAGAAGCCGCCTCACAAACTCCACACGTCTTACAGAACTCTTGGGAAAAGCTTTCATCCCTGCCTGTGTGATCCTTATATTATGACTCACAGAGGAAACCACAAGGGTGCAGGTGAAATTGACATTGGCTCTTTGTGGTCACCCTTAGGAAGAAGAAAAAGGAAGATGCTTACAGTGTAGAACCAGAACTTCACAATGGGTGCATTGTAGAATTCATAGATTTTTCTGCCCAGGGGGATTAACCGGTGTCTGCTCTGAACTTCCTCTTCATCCTTCTTTCTGGAGGACTCCCCATTGTTTCGTCCCAACATCGCCTACAGTGGAAGAGAATCGACACCATCATTGCAGGGCTCTGGAGAGCATGCGATTCAATGTGCTCATTTTACACATCAGGAATGCATGCTCACAGAACCTAAGGGTTTTATCCAAGGTCCCCAGAGATTCACAGGTTGTGCCTTCCCTAGGTGTGCATTTGCATCATATATAGAATCAAAGGTATGTGCCTGGGATGGAAGGTCTTAGGGATATCTGTTACCATTATCTTCTCTTCTGCCATGGGAGCTCTGGAAGATTCCATAATGGAAGATACCAGAGTTCTGAGAGGAGAAAGAGCATAGCCTCGGAAGGCCAGGAATCTCTTTTCTTTCCACCTCCTCCCCATAGTAGTGAGACAGGCAGATTTGGGTTTGAATTCTATCTACTCATGCTAATGACTCTTAAGTGAAAACAAACAAATAAACAAACAAACACACTGGACCAGTAATATCTAACTTACCCAAAGGTTACGAGTATTAGAGAGGTTATCTGAAGTGCCTGGAGCTTAGTTAGGTTAGAAACCTCTCCTCAACCCTTAGGCATAAACCTTGGTTCCCTGATCTCAAACTTCATAAAACCCAAATTACTGCTGGGATTAGTTTCATGGCGACTTCTAAGCACAATGCCTTCCTCTGCATGGGAGATTCTGCTGGGTGGGACTAGAAGTCAGGCCTGACTTGGAGAGGCCTCATCTCCAAGCTGTTGGAAGTTTCCTTACGAATCGAATTATTTCCTTCTCACCCATGTCAACAGCAGTGGCAAAAATGACAATAAAACATCACAAAAAAGGCAGACTTTGAGAAAAGGCAGATGCATGCCTGTCTGGGTAGCAAGTGGCAGGATGAGTCAAATATGGCTGAAGATCCTACTGGTGAAGAGTTCCAGACTTTGAGTCATTCAGAAGGAGGACCGAATCCTCTCTTGGATGCTCAGAATCCATGGCACCCGGGGTAAATCTTTTAACCGCTCTGAATCTTAGTTTCTTTATCTTTAAATTGGAGGTAATAATGGCACCTGCTATAGGATTGGTCTACAAATAAATAAGCATTTGGCACTTAATAAGTGCTCTGTGTATACTAGCTAGTGTTTAGTTACAATGAACTGAGACTTTTCTTGGATAGTCTTGACGAAAATAATCTGGTTGGGAATTTCTCGCCAGGAAAAAGAAAAGTGTTATTAGGGCTCTATTATAGCATAATTTCTTGACTTTAATTGTTTTGGTATTATTTCTAAGACAAGGCTAGTTCTACCATGTTTGGGAAATGAGATTTTTATTAAGTGTAAGAACAGGGCAAATCCTTCTAACTACTCAGTGACTGACAAGGATTTAGGATAGGAAAAAGGAGTGGGATACAGTTTTAGAGTTGAGAGATCTAATTATAGAAACCATTTGTTTATCTTGAATTTGAGAGCAGATAATTCTGGTTTCAAACCACCTTACTCAAGATATACAAATAGTTCCAACTACTTTTGTCATTGCCTCAACTATCCACCTTCTTAAATATGTAACAATCGCAAATGATGAACCTGTAACCAATAGGATTTCTGGAGAAGGTAACAAGGCAACTTCCATTCCTTTAAAGCCTCTATGGCTAGGAAATTACTTAATGAATAGGTAAGATCCCATTCGATGGCCTATCCAAGGCTTTATTTTGATCAGTGAGCTGGGTCAATCTCCATGATGGATATGGCATGTTTGACTTCTATCAATATTGACCACTGACCTCAAGAAACTCTGAGCTACATCCTTCTATAATTTATAATTTATGTAACATAATTACCCTGCTTCTGTTCTGCTTCTTTATTTGCTCAATAATACAATACAATTTGGGGACATAATGGGATGTTAGTAAAGGCAGCTTCGGGAGTTGTAGGCATCTTGGACAGTGACATCTTGGGGTAAACGCTAGAAAGAGTGGCTTCCTCAACAGAGTTGAGACAATGCCCTGGGTCTCTGGACATGCTGGAGCTTTATTAGGCAGAGTGCAAAAACACGTATCTGGCAATGCAGGTGAAAAAAAAACAAAAACAACACGGCCTATCTTGCTTTCATTATTCAGATACGTTCCCAAGTGAATGCATTTTTTAAAAGCTTTTCTTTTGTGGGTTTAAGTAAAGCATTTTCGAAATTTCATTAATTCCAGCCTAAGCAGCTTAACTGACTGATTTTCTTGATTTCTCTTCCCAGTAGTCAAACATTTCCTTTGACTACATTCCTTAAGCAGAATGTAATAGGGTCAAATACAGGCAACACTACATAATATGGATTTGAGAATTTTTGCTGGCTGGACACAGATGTCAAGTCTGGGAAAGATCCATTGAAGTCAACTAGGCCACTAAAGGCTACTGATAATGAAATTGAAGCTCATATTTTGTGCATAATTTTGGAGGGGCCAGGGGAAAATGCTCCCATCCAAGAAAGGATATTTGTCATTAGGGTCAAAAGAGGCTCCAGCTTAAAGATATCTGCTATCCAGCCCTAACTTTACCAGTCCACAAAATCCCTTCTTCCTTTCCTTCTAGCTGTTTCTGCCTGTGGGGAAGAAGCCCAGGCAGTAGAGCTAGTGTGAGGTCTTTCCCTCAGGTTCTCAGTAAACAACAGCAGGGTCTATTCTCTGGGAAGCAGACTTTGCTCTCAGTCGAGAGATGCATCCTTTAGTGTGATTTCTTGAAGGATCGGGTTCTCAAAGCTCCACACGGAGCAGAAGGGAGCTGCCTTCTTTGTTTTCTTCCTTGAGACCCACCCAGAGAGAACTGTGATTCAGCTTGTGGCTGTCTTCATAGGGTCCTTCCTTGAGGCTTCAAGGCCAAGTCATACTTGACGTAGGAGGCCCGTGCATTATTTTTGGATTCTTTCTGCTATGAGGTAGACCAAACCAAGTGAATGCCTACATTTGAGACTAAG